GCATCAGGATGGATGGTGAAGAGACTGAGGTTGTTCACAGCTTTAGTTTGCTTGGCTACAGTCAATACTCTTGGCACCAGTAGCCAGGAAATTAAAAGGCGTATCGCAATGGGAAAGTCTGCTGTTAGGGACCTCTCCAAAGTAGTGAAGAGCAATGGTGTCTCTCTGGAGACTAAGGTGCACCTGATACAGGCCATGGTCTTTGCAATTACTTGTTGTGCTCAGAGAGTTGGACAATGACCAAGGAGGATAGAAGAATTGATGCTGTGATGCTGGAGAAGAGTATTGAGAGTACCATGGACTGCTAGGAAAACAAACAGATTCATCCTGGAAAGGGTTAAACTGGGTGACTCCTTGGTGGCAAGAATTCTGAGTCTTCGTCTAACATATTTTGGACACGTTGTAAGGAGAGACCGGTCCTTGGAGAATGACATCATGTTTGGGAGGGTGGAGGGAGAGCGCAGGAGAGAAAGACCCTCGATGAGATGGATAGATTCAGTGACTGGGGTAATCAGAATAGAAGTGTCAGAGACAGTGTGATTGGCACAGGACAGAGCAGAGTTTAGGGCTGTTGTACATAGGGTCGCTATGAGTTGCAAGCAACTCGAGGACACATAACAACAACAACAGTGCTAATTGGGTCAGGCTTTTTCTTCAGTGCCATCTTACCAGCTGTCCTAAGTCGATGGAAATTGTAAAATGCCCAGGTCTTCTGTTTGTACAGTGCAACAGAAGTACTTTACAATTGTCCTACTTTTAAATTTAACATGAGGCGTGGGGAAAGTTCTTCTCTACTCTTGCGGAGCTTATAGTCAAATTAATAGGAAAAGCCCTAAGGAAATGTATTTCGCATAAGAAATAAAAGGAAGATTGAACAGTTGATCTTACTACAGAAACCAGTGTCTACTATCGCCACGCTCTCAAGTTTGTAGAATGTTGGGACTATCATTTGTGCTTTTCATGTGGTTGTTGAAAAAAAATTGGGCAGCTAACTTATTTGGTTTCATGTGCCTCTCAAGTTGGTTGTAAATTAAGAATTTTAGAATAGAAGTAAAAACATGTTTCCTAAGCAGGTGACATTCTTTAAGCAGGCACATGGCATTCAATTTTGTTGATCACACCATTGTCTAAAGCACCAAAATTGAAAAGGTAACACTCTTTGAATTGCTTCACATGGTCTCATTTGAAGTGATTGGTGTAATAATTTTGACTTTTTATAGTTTGAAACATAGGATAAATATGGAAATGAAGAAAAAAGATCTTGGAGAAAGGCATCATGATTGAAAATGTGAAGGGTCAGTTTAGCAGAGGAAGACCCTCAACAAGATGGATTGAAGCGACTGTAACAATGGCATCAAGTACTTTGGAGATAGTGAGGATGTCATACAAGTCCAGGTTCAGATCTTTTGGTTGTAAGGTCGTTATGAATCAAACAGTATGATAGGAGAATTGATGGCTTTGAGCTGTGGTGCTGGGGAAGAGTTCTGAATATACCATGGACTGCTAAGAGAACAAACAGGTTCGTCCTGAAGAGGATGAAATCAGGCTGCTCCTTGGAGGCAAGGATTCCGAAGCTCTGTCTGACATACTTTGGGCATGTTGCAAGAAGGGATCAGTCTTTGGAGGTGGAGGGACAACAGAGGAGGGGAAGACCAGCAATGAAATGGATTGACTCAGTGACTGGGATAATGAGGGTAGGTGTGTCAGAGACAATAAGGTTGGCTCAATAGAGCAGGATTCAGAACTCTGTACATAGGGTCGCTATGAGTTGCAAGCGACTTGAAGGGACATAACAACTACAACAAGGACTCAAAGTCGACTTGCAAGGCCATAACAACCAAACAACAACTGCGTGCCTGCAAGTGGACGCACAGGGAGGTGACGTAAGCTAGGCGCGTGTCTCTGGCAGCCAATTCGAGCCTTGTGCTCAATCTGGCCCCGCCCTCCTGTGAGCCCCGATCAGCACGCACGGCCGGTCCCGGAAGTACTCTGAGGCTGTAGTGGAGGTGAGTGCTTGCGATCGACTCTGGTCCTGGCATCAGAACTCCCACCATCCCTTCTCCTCTGAGCCCCTGGGTCCGTGGAACGGCAGTAGGTAGGACCGCTTGGACACAGAATAGAACAAGGTTCCGATCTCTTGTTCCTATGCTCCCTATACGTGCTACTGGATTTGTTTGCAACTACCAACCACCACCTTTATTTAAAGCTGTATACCTCCCTAAGCTAACATTTCTGATGGCCTCCTTGCTTGAAACTGCACTACAATTACAAAGACACAAAGTGCCAATCTCCAGCTGAAATCTCCTCCGTAACTCACTGCCTCTGAAAACCTTCTGGAGGCCAGCTTATGGGTGTATTCCTATAGCTAGACAACAACAGCCCTTCTAAACAAAGCTTTTGTTGAACTCACGAATTTTGATATTTTTCAATTTTCATTTTACATTATGATTCCTTTTTTGAGCCTACATTATTAGTGTGTTAATAATGTCTGCATATTAGAATGTTATTGAATTATAATGTAATTATATTAAGAGAAAACATGCCGAACGACCCCATGATTTAATATGCATTTGATCTATCTTGTTGACTGTGTTATGTGCAGTTGAATGTATTTGCTACAGTTACTTGGCGTCTTTATTAGAAGATTTCACCAAGACCGAGACAGTTAATGGTGCTATTTAGGTTTTCCATATCCTAACTGATTTTTTTTTCAAGTCTGCTTGTTCACTGACAGAAGGATTTGTTTTTCTTTTGTTATTTTTCCCCCTTATTTGTGTACCATCGAATCAGACCCAACTGGCACAGGAGGAGATTGACCGTCCATCTCCAGCAAACCATCTGGTGGATTAGAACCATGCTCCTTCTGGATTCCAGTGCAGCTTCCTGCCACTAGGCCACCAGAGCTCCCTTGAGAGAAAGGTTTTTAAATTTCCAGATAATTCTCCTTAAAACATAAAAAAGGTACAGAATTTCAATTTATTGTTTTTAATTTATTTTCTCTATTTTGGATGAAGCCTTACAAAATTTGCTAATATTATCCATAAAATAGTGCTTACTTAGTTGAAGATGTAAGTGTGCTTTTAGGTATCCAGTATTTGTTCCAAATATCCTTTAAGCCCAAGGTTAAAGCTTTGTGACATCATTCCCAAAGAGAGCACTTTCCAACATGGCACTAAAAGGAGGCCACTGGAAATTTCATAGTACCTTTTGGGAAAGAGTGTTTTGTTCTCTTCATCCTTGTATTTATCAGAATTATCATGGGGATTTACTTGTAGGGCACTGGTGTACTTGTCCAGCTTTACTTTCAGTCTCCAAATGGACATATGTAATTCAGAAGGGTTAGATACAGAAATTGTATTTATCTGGAAGCCACTAAGAAAAATGCTTCATGAGGTGGATGGCACTCTTATTCTTAGTGTGGACATTTGAAGACCAACCAAGAATGATATAAAGTAGAAATGATGATGGTGACAGTTTAGATGGTGTGTTGTAGTTTGATCTGTGTCTATAAGCATTGTGTCCAGATACAGAATGCATCTTTTGAGCCCCTAGGTTGTGTAAACAGTTAAAATCCTCTGCTGTTGACTTACAGGGGGAAGTAGAATGTACCCACTAATTTTTTTTAATTTAATTTTTTAATTATTATTAGTTTTAATGAAAATTTACAGAGACTTTGGATTTCCATTCATTCATTGTTGCACTTTTCTCCCTGCCCCCTCTCCCCACCCAGTACACTCTTCTCTTTCAAAAGTAAAAGAAAAATTCTTTCATTGTTTTAAAATCCCTCCCCCTAGGTCCACTCGCTATGCAGCCTTTGTTCTGGACTCCTGTCATGACAATAATACCTAATCACATACCCCTTCTAAACAGTTTTCTCCCTCATCTGTTTTAATGCAGTATACATTATTGAAACCATCTTTCTCAGTCTCCCCCACAACCCCAATGTCAGTCCTGTTTTACAACAGTGGTACTATGCAGTATTTGTCCCTGTGTGACTTAGATACGTTCCTCAGCATAATGTCCTTCAGGGTCACCCATTTTGAATAATATTGCATGAGTTCCTTGTTTTTCAATGCAGCATAGTCTTCCATTGTGTGAATATACCACAGCTTCTCTATGCATTCATTTGTTGATGGGCACTTAGGTTGTTTCCAACTCCTTGCTATTGTGAACAAAGCCGCTATAAACTTGGGTGTGCATATATCTGCTTGGGTGTCAGTTATGATCTCCTTGGGGTATATTCCCAGTAGTGGATGAGTCAAATGGTATCTCTATTTGCAACTTTTTAAAAAAATTTTTTTTTTATCATTTTGTGTGGGTGTACCGTCAAATCAGATCTGACTGGTACAGGAGGAGATTGCCCCTCCTTTTCCAGCAGAGTATCTGATGGATTTGAACTGCATACCTCTGGGATTGCAGTGCAGCTTCTTGCCACTTGGCCACCAGAACTCCCTATCTATTTGCAACTTTTTGAGAAAGCGCCACACCACTTTCCACAGTGGTTGCACCATTTTACACTTCCACCAACAGTAAAGAAGGGTTCCAATTTTTCTACAACCTTGCCAGCATTTGTTGCTTGCTGTTCTGTTAAATTTTGCTATATCCGACTGGGGTGAGATGATACAGTTGTTTTGATACCCAGTGATATCTTGAGATAAGGACCCAGTGATTACCTCTGAGTAACCAACCAGCTGTGGACAGCACTGTGGAGCACACCTCCACTTTAAAAAAACGTGAGTCCACTTGAGTTGGAGCTGTCTTATTTTCAGCTGTGTTTCTTACTATCAATCCATTGGGCAGTTTCAGGGATCATGGTTGAATCCAAGACTTCTCAGAAGGGCATGTGAGTTTTTTTCTAAAATCATGTTATCTGTGCATAACTGGAACACTTTCCTTCTCCAGTGTCCCTGCAGAAGGCTGTGTGAAGATTTGGTTCTCCCCAGAAAACTGTTCAATCCAGAAGGACTGTGCTGACGTGGAAGAACTTGACAAGCCCAGGGATGCCATTGGAAGTAGGAAAGGCCCTGGTCCATGTGCCACCAGTGTCAAAGGCAGAGGACCCCCCACTCCCTGGAGCAGCTACTACCCCTCCAGGGGAACTCTCCAGCCCTGAAGCTGTCCGGCAGCTTTTTAGACACTTTCAGTACCAGGTGCTCTCTGGGCCCCAGGAGACCCTGAGGCAACTTCAGAAGCTCTGTTTCCAGTGGCTGCAGCCAGAGGTTCACAGCAAAGAGCAGATTCTGGAGCTCCTCATGTTGGAGCAATTACTGACCATCCTGCCCGGGGAGATCCAGACATGGGTGCACACACAGTGTCCACGCACTGGAGAAGAGGCTGTGACAATAGTGGAGAGCTTGAAGGGCAAACCCCAAAGACTGTGGCAGTGGGTAAGCAGAGAGTATTAGGATCTAGAGTCCATCTGGGGTATCCTTTATCCATGGTTCTAATTGATACAAATGGTTTGCACTTGACTACTAACCATAGATTAGTTGTTTGAACCCACCAAGTGACACCATTAGAAGAAAGGTCATGAAGAATATTGCTAAGAAAACCCTTAAGGGCTCTTCTGCTCATAGTGTTGCTGTGAGCTGCAATTCTGTGAATTGTGTATTAGTGACTTTCCACAATCTAGCTGTTAGAGTTAAAGGTACAATCTGTGATTCCTTTCTAACTTAACCCTCCAATGCTTTCATTTGGTTAAGGTTTATTTGATACAGACTTTCCAGTTGAAACCCCTTATTAGAGGCCTATCTTGAAGGTCTTGCAGGCCTGGTTCACTGTCAGCAATTGGCCTGTCTGTCATTTCCATCAATACGTGGAATACCTACTTACTGTGAAAATGAAGGTGACTATCTTTTCCTTGTTACCTGTTCCTAAGGACTGTCCTGTTGTAGAAGATGGACTTCATGATGATTTCAGAAATCCTAAGTCAGCATCCTATAGTAACTCATAATAACTTGTCTTTAGATCAGCAGCCACGTTCTGGGACAGGAAAGCTTACCTGAGGAGGTGGAATCTGAAAGCTGCCAAGTACCAGAGGCAGAGACCAGTTTTAAAGTGGTTCCTCAGGAGCTGGGACTTGAAAATTCAGCCTCACGGCCAAAGGAGCAACTGAGCCACATCATTAAAGAGGAAGCTGACACTAAGCAGGAATTAGGTGAGGGTCAGTTCTTATTCATGGTGGTGTTGGGGCCTCCCAGCAAAAATTAGGTTCCTTGCTGTCTCAGTTGAAAGTGTATTCAGATTGTGGTGTACAACAAAAGTTTAGGAACAAGGTTGAAGTCCACAAGTCACTCTCATTAGGAAATTCCATGTCTATGTGTTGAACTACTTTATAGCTACATTAGACCATTTTGATTTGGGACTAGAAATAGAGGGGAGAGAATATATGGTTGAGGGTCTTTGGCATGTTAGAGGAATTTGGACTTTGTTGGTGATGCAAGTACATAACTTGAAATTGTCAGTAGAGGCATCACTTCTAATTTGCCAATGTTTTTCTGTTGGTTTCTTTTATAGTTTCTGTTTTATTTTTAAATTAATGCCCTCTTGAATGACTGAGAAAGACATCTAGATTCTTAAAACATCCTTTTTCTCACTTCAGTGATGACTGCACCCCAGATTCTTGCCCAAAGAGAGGAAAGACTGAGCGACCAGGACTCAGGAGGCTCACTACTACAAGCATCATCTCAGGTGAGCCAGATTGCTTTACTTTTTTGCCTGTGAACCAGTTTCGAGCATTTACCAGTAACTCTTTTTGTTTTTATGTGCCATCGAGTTGCCTGCAAATCATAGCGACCATATGTACAATAGCCCTGAACGCTACCCTGTCATGAGCCAGTCTCACTGACTGACACACCTAATCCCATTTCCCCAGTTACCATGTCAATCCATCTCATCAGAGCTCTTCCTCTTCTGCACTGTCCCTCCACCCTTCTCCAGTGGCTAGTCCGTCCTGGCCATGTGCCCACAGTATGTGAGATGGAGCTTCAAAATCCTTGCCTGCAAGGAGGAAGTTGGTTTCACCCTCTCCAAGGCAGACCTATTTGTTCTCCTGGCTGTCCCGGGTATGTTCAGTACTCTTCTCCAGCACCACAGCTCACAGGCATCATTCTTCTTCTGTTACACTTAATCATTGTCCTGCTCTCTGATGCATAACAAGTAATTATGAAGACCATGGCCTGGGTCAGGCACACCTTAGTCTTCAGACAGACATTATTGCTCTTTAGTACTTTGGAGAGGTCCCTGACAGCAGCCTTCCTCATTGCAATTCTTTTGATTTCTGACTGCTGATTAGGAGGACTGAAATGAGTGCATGCTCAGAAGTTCAGTGGAGAAGAGGGCCTCTCTAGAATAACATGAACAATAAACATGAAGAGAAGCTTGAATTTTAGTGTTTCTCTCAGGTCTTATCAAGGTAGAATGTTTTTTCTAGTTGCCCTTTACAATCAGGGAATTTAGTTCCTAAACAAAAATGGAAAAGACTTGTGATGAAACAAATCTTTTCTTGAACCCACTCATGTGAGAGATAAAAGGAGAAAGAAGCAAGTTAGAGTAAGAGAACTTTACTAACACCAAGAACAAAGAGCCAGGAGTGAAGAGCACACTTTAGGTCTTGGTCCTGTGCTGAGAACCTCATAGGCCTAGGGCAAAGAGTGGCTGAGAAACAGGTACGTCACCCAGGAATGCCTGGCCAACATACTCAAGAACTTTTCCCCCACAGCTGGCTGACTAAAACGTTCTTGTGTAACTTGTACCCTGAATTTGGACTTTTTAAACTGGAAGAGAATAAATTTCTCTTCTTAAACTCATCCACTGGTTTTGCTCTAACTGTGAAAGCTTATACATCATCCCTACATGTCCTCTTAGGCATTTACCTTCCCTCTCTCTTTCCTTTTGCTGCCCTTCTCCTTCCCATTTTGGGCAGCTACTGATCTGCTTTCTGTCATCATAGATTTATTTGCATTTTATAGGATTTTATATAAAATGGAATCATACCATTTTTTCTTCTACACATGACACGTTTTCCTTCCTTAACTATTTTCTCACTTTCTGTCAGATTTTAAAAGATTGATTTCAGTATACCTGGAAGTTATTTTACCTCTGTATCTTGTGAATGGAGTTCATTCAGCTTGGTTGTGAGATTATAGTTCTAAAGAGATATGAAAATTTTTTTTTATTTCTTTATTTTTCATTTCCATGAACATCTACAGAGATTTTGGAATTCCATTCATTCATTGTTGCACCCCTCTCCCCGTCTC